TTTCTGAAAATCAAACAATTTTTGGATGAGTGGAGAACTCTGAGCTATGCCTACGAGGTGTTCTTCCCTTCCAGAGGCAATATCGAATTACGAGAAGGTGCTTCAGGTGAAACTCGTTCGAGGTGGTGACCGTCTCCAAGGGTCCGGGTGGTGCTCCTGCTGTAGCGTGACCCCGAAAAGACATTTATCCTTCCGTAGCCCCCTTCGAACCCCCTTACAGCAACTGCCAACCATTTCCAGGCCTCTGATTTGTCGTCGACCACCCTCACATCACCCAACAGACTGCTGTACCGTCATTCTAGCCTATGTTTCGCTCGTCTTCTCCAACCAATCCCTTGACCTGCTGCCCTACCGCCGCCCACCACCCTCACCGCCATCCTAGGGTGTCTTCCGTGTTTGTATTGTTGTTTTTGTCCTATTCTCTGGAGTCGTGTTTGTAATCTTTTTGAATTTGAACAATAAAATTATCATTTTCTATTATAATTTGGGCTTTTTCTATCATAGTATCTATATTAGTAGCAATAAGTTCTTAAGGTTCTTAATGAGTTAGAGAGTAGATAGATGGTCAAATGTTCTGTCTTGGTTGCTCTTTATGAGCCGTTATATTAGTTTGGTATCGTTTGCTGATCCCTTCTAAGAGTAGATCCCTCCTAAATATTCTTCTAAGTTGAATCTCTTCATGAGTTTGTATTTGGTCTAGATCTTTGAGCAGAATTAGGGGAACTCATATGATGTCCAGGATGTCGACATAAAAAATATATCTTAGATTCAAATAAGTATTCACCACGATATAACTTTTCACACTTAACACATGGTTCTGTAGTGTTGCAACCAGCTTGGTTACTACAAAGAAGCAGTCACTGCTATACAAATCACTCATCAAATTCCATGAGCATCTATATCAATAGGAATATGTTTTTTAGGTTCTTAATGAGTTAGAGAGTCGAAAGATGGTTAAATGTTTTGTCTTGGTTGCTTTTTATGAACCATTATTTTAGTTTGTCATCTTTTGCTGAGTACTTCTAAAAGTAGATATCTTTCGAAAACTCTTCTTAGTTGAATCCTTTCCTGAGTTAGTATTTTGTGGAGATCTTTAAGCAGAATTAGGGCAGCTCCTCATCTGATGTCCAGGATCTCTGCATAATAAATATATCTTTGAATCATATAAGCATTCAACGTGATATAACTTCTCACACTTTACATGGTTATGTAGCATATGGTTTTATTTTTCACCATTTGATCATCCAGAATGAACTGTTAGTTCTATTTCTTTCAAGCTCTTTGTCTTGTGCATGTCTTTACTCTTTTGATTTGTTGAATATTAAGTTCCACTCGCCTAGTTCTATCCATTAGCACCGAGTAGTTTTCAATCTCAAGTGGTACTAATGGTTGCTGATGGAATTTTTCAATCCAGAAAGAAATTATAAAACTTATCCTATACAGTAGATATTAGTTGTGTATATCTTGATAGTGTAGTGAACTCTACTTTATACTGCATTACTATTTTTTCTCTGTATCATCACTTTGATGAACTTGTCATGAATTTGCCTCCGTGAAAATTTTCACTGTTACCCGCCCAACATTTCATGATGTTGCCCTTGCACTATCTTTAAACTTCTCCATCTAATACCAAAGCAACTAGGGGTATCTTTCTCTCGTCCGACATGATATATTGTAAAAATTTTTCTCAATTTGAAGTAGCCAATTTTCAGCTTCTATTGGTCCGTCAGGTCTTATAAAAAGTAGCAACCACAAATTTTGAACATTTATAAATATTTATTAATGGCAAGAGGACCACTATTTTCATTTGATTGCGATATAGAATCTTGAAAAAGCTAGGTTATAACTATCATCATCTGGACCAAGATATTTGTTTTCACAATGACATTGTGCAGTAACTCCTCTCCTACCACATGAACATCCTCAATCTTATATGGAGCATCCATGTCAAAGTTAACCACTCAAATTACTTAAATTATTAATGATTAAAATTTCATAGCTATTCTAATCACTCTTTCATTAAGATTTATGTTCTTTATCTAAATCTTGTTCTGATACCTCTTTTATCACGACTTGATCTAGAGTTTGAAATTTTCAAGGCAATAATAGACATTTGGTTGGTGAAATTATAATTTTTTATTTTTTTTTACCCCTAGCAATGTACAATCCAACTATAAATTGGAAAAAACTACTAAAGACAATAATTTAATTTACAAATAATAATATTACTTTTTCGTTTGCTAACCTAGCACTTTGTACACATTCTGTTTTATAATAATCGTTTTTTATTAAAAAAATTGAACTTGAAAAATATTAAAACAACTAATGAATTATCCAAGATAACTTAGTGGAATAATTACACTTCCAACCTGCAATACCCAAGGAAGAAAAAGACAATAAGTTTGTTTGTCTTCCTTAATATGCTCTAGAAAATTATATAATAATTTAAATCATATATTTATGATGTTTGCTTGAGAAAGATATTTAGAATTTTTTTATGCATATATTTTGTTTTATTTTTCAAATTTTAATCTAACTTTATTCCATATTTTACTCTTAACTTGTATATCCACATCAGTAGAATTGTTTAAAAATAATCTAACACGCACATGCCCGATACATTTCCCGTCAGCACTGCAGGGGGCAAAATAGGTTTGCTGTTATCCAAGGTGATAATATACCTACTTACCTCCGATCGATTCTCTCCTGTCGTATAGCGGTTTGTGTTCTAAAGTGCACGATTATTTGAGTTGGTAAGAAAATATCTACACGCCTGGGTATATTGGCTTCCCTAGTCAATACCATAAGAGAGTCAATACCATAAGAGAGTGAACTTCACTTAGCATGCACATAAAACTATTCATATATGCACTTGTTGAATCTTAAAATGTCCTGTTGGTCACACTCAAGGAATAGAGCTGTGGTCGGATGAGAGGAATGAGAGTAGAAAAATGTGGTTCAAGTAATATTAAATTTCTAAGAATTTGTCTAATTGCCACTTTTGTGAAAATGATCTTCCATTTATAAGCCATAGGAAGGGTATAGTAAATTACATGATTATCCTTCTTTTAATAAGAACATTTCAATCATTTATGAATCATTACACATTTACATATTTACAACTAAGTTAAACATACTTTGACCGTGTAACCGTTGTTGATGTCGTTCCATGTTTGTAATTGTAGTTGACATCTTTTTGTGTTTGTAACTTTCTGGTCTTATCGCTCTGTTCATTTGGTCGGCCGATCATCAGTAGGTCAGGAGTTGATCAACTGACTGAAAGACTTACAGTCGCATTCTTCGAAGAAATTCATTGCCAAGTCTTCCTTCGATCAGGCATAACACGTTATCGTAATCTGATAGACAGTATTCCTTCGATCAACGGACCTATGCAAAAAAAAATTCCCTAAGGGCTACTATTGATCTCTCTAATGCTAGACATCGGTAGAGTAGTTGTCTTCCTGGGTGTGTGGTGTACTTTGATTTGGTCAAACTTTCGTTAGTTTAGTCTAAGATTTGGTTGACCGGTGCAATGATAAATATTGACACTTCTGATTCTTTCCTTGTGCAGTCTGCTGGATCTCCTCGAGATTCATGCAACCATATTTTTGATGTTCATCACTATTTTTGTTTTTTATATCCAGATTTGATAGGGAAAGTAAGAGTGTGCTTAGTGTTAGTAAATATTTTTATTATATTTAGAGTGTGAAAAAGAAGAGAATCCAGTGGAGATCATTATACCAGGGAGGATTTTAGTGGAGAAACTCAATACTTCTTTCGAGTTATATTTATCTTGTTGTGAATATTATTTTCTTTTCATTTTGATTTCAATGAAGATTGCTTTGTTTTCTCTCTACATGCTTAGTAACTAATTTCACTATCCTTTTTTGATTTGGATGTGGGATAAATCTTTTTCTTTCTATGAGATTTAATTGGGATTTTCTGTGGGATATTAGCAAGTTGATGTGTTATTTTTTGGTTTTTTTTTTAATTTTCAATCCGAGCAATTGGAATGTTAAAACCCTTTATTATCTAGGACTAGTGATTGTAGGCTGAAAGAATGAATATGATAACATTCATTCACCTAGTACAATTTGAATATTGTTAGTAGGAGATTTCAACCTCATAGGAGACAAGATTTTTTGAAAAGTTTATATTGTTAAATAAAACTTAACTGTAATAAGAATTTTCAACGTTTCTTATGACCTTGGAAGAGGTTGAGGAGGATTTGTCCTTTGTTGTCAACTTTAGATTGGAAATTCTTAGGAAAATTATTGAGGATTCACTCAATCCAAGTCAAAGGTGCATGATTCTCATTTAAGAGAAAATCCTACTCCCATTTAGGTTTTTATTTCTGTAAAATTAGGATTAAACAATTTAAAATTCTCAAAGCTCTGACTTTTCAAGCTAGACCTAAGATTAGTAAAGTAGAACTTTCACCCGCTTTGGAATAGCCCACCTAGGTTTTTTTTTCCCTGCAAAATTAGGATTAAACACTTTAAAATTCTCAGAACTTTGACTTTTCAAGCTCGACCTAGGATTAGTAAATTAGAACTTTCATCTGCTTTGGAATATAGCAAGTTCGAAATTAACAAATTTTTTGGGGGAACAATACATAAACTCAAAAAGTCATATACTACTTGATCACACTTTCCCCCAACCCACGCATATATATATATATATA